AGCCCAAAGTTCATTAAGTAATGAAGAACATAAAGCTTTCGGCGCTCACTGATTCCATGAGGAATTTCTGCTTTGGGGTGTTCATAATAGAAAGCAATTGCCACAATACCAGTCAAAACAGCAAGAAAAATGACCAAGAGAAGTTCCATCTTGCTGTGTTGGAAGGAGCCTGAGAAAGAACCAGCTGTGGCCTCCTCCCCCTTTTTCAGACTTTAAGACTTCTGCAGGTAAAGGCATAGGATTAGTTGTTCTCGTCGTGGTTATAATCCAGTTTTGAAAATGCCAATAGGAAGATAAAAACATGTGGTAACCAACCATACAATTAGACAGTAACAATTAGTTGTGGGAGAGGCTTGCACAAGGGTTTTCACATTTGCAGTAACAAGGCTGTGCCCATCACAGCAGAACTATGACTTGTGTAGTGGCAGTTTATAGGAAGACAAAAACTTGTTCTGTCTCTCTGGTTTTTGGTTACAGGCAAGTCTTTATTATTTGTGAGTTCCTGCACAGCATTTCTTGGTAATCATCTTCTGAGCTGCCCAGATTCTTGCGTCGTTGTGCCTCCATGCCTCACTTTCTCAGACTTTTATTGAAATCAAGGCTCAGTGTCACAAACATGTTTCATCACCTGTGTGGCAGATTTTGGATTCTTCTGACATTGCATCTTTGAGTCCAGTGGACCCAGAGGCAGCTGCAGCCTGGTCAGAGAGCTGTTCTTGCCTCATCCTCCTCAATGGCTCTTCTCCTGCAGCAGCAGATTTTTATTTGGGTTTTTTTTCTGCCTCTTGGCAGTGCTGCAGTCTCTGTCTTCCAGGAAGATACTATGTACAGATGTCATTCCAGGTAGGAATACGATTCCAACTGCTGAAAACTAGACTTGAACTTCATGGTGTCAGGGCTAGTAGCACTGACCAGACATCAGCAGCTCACTCTTTTCTGTGGTGAGCTCTAGGATCTTCCTCTGGAGCTAACATATTTTCCCATACACAAATAATTAGTGAAAAGATTTAACTTGAAGCAAAAAATATCTGTAAAGGACAGCTCATGTGATGTCACCTTTGGGAGCAGTGTTTTTAGCAGCCTGCTTAGCCTGTGAAGGCAGCACATTCTCATTCTGAAAAATCACAGTGCGGGTAAAATAAGTCTGTAATTTTTTTTTCTTAAATACTAACAAAATAATATAAGGGATGAGCTGACCTTGAATTGTAGAATAAAATTAAACTAAAGACAGAGAACCTCAGGGCTTCAGCATACATAGTCGATGACCTGCAAAGGAGATGGCTCAGACGTGATACCTGACTTCACAAACTGTTTAGAATGAGCAGGTTGGAGTTCATCTGGTGTTACACCTTCTGAGAAGCAGCTGATTCCATGTTCTGCGTTCTCTGTGTTTCATCCAAACTGTTTCTTCATTTTATCCAACAAATCTTTGTGGATTTTCATTTCCCAATGTCCCTGTGCCTTTCCCTCCCTTGCCAGAAGGTTATTCATATGATAAGTGTAAAATCACATTCCTTTTTGTTTATCCTTCTGCGTAATGGCATTTGATGTCCATGTTGATAAGGGATTTAGGTAAAAGGCACATTTTCTGGCAGCTGGGACACTCTTGGGAAACGGCGGTGCACAAAGCGTTCAGCTTTCTTGCAACTCAGGCAAGAGCATTGGGAAATGTTGTTGCACAAAACACAGCTGCAGCTCCTTTCTTCAGCATTTGATAGTGCAAGGCATTAATTAGCCTATGCTAAACTCTGTCCCAGTGGGTGAGGTGTGGTCTGAGTACACCCACCAGATTTGGCCCTTCTGGGGAATCTAAGAATGCGCTTGACACCTGTGACAGATCCTTTGTACTGCAGTTCTTACCACCTATGGTTCTTCTGTGATCTAAATCTTTTTGGTGCCAATTCACCCACAGCTGGTAGGTCTTAGACTCATTAGGGCACCTTTACAAGGTCTGGACTTCACAGCACCCCCAGGGGCTTCACACAAAGACCTGATGTGCTGGAAGCTGTCAAAGAAACAAACTAGCTGGTTTCTGAGTTAATAATGTGCTTTTTCCCTTTGGGCATTCCTGGTACAGAGTAGTACTTAACGCTGTGTAAGCTTAGTCTCAGCAATTCACAAGCTTGAGGAAACCATTCTCTACATAATCTTTTCAATAAATGCTCTCTCTAGCTTCTGATAATTTTTTGACCTTATCTCTGCTCCTGTGAGATAAAGCAGGGGATAGACCAGGCTAAGCCCTATTTTCTCCTACCAGGGACTCCCTTTCTTATTAATTTCCAGTGAAAAGCTTAATGTCCAGGCCTGAAATCTTGTCATTCCTTGTTCTTTTTCTGTGATATGGCTGCACATGCAAGGAGAAATACTGAGCCAGGTGTAGCAGATGTAAAATGTTCCCTGCCTCTGGATTGTGGTGCTTAATTAGCTGGCAACGGAACTCACTGTAAATGGAAGTCTGCACTGGGATACTGGGAAACATTCCAGAGAAAGTGCTGTGTGACCCAAGAAGCTCCTTTTGGGTTCTGCAGAGCATGAGAACCCTCTGGTGCTGGAAGCCTGAAAGGGAGCTGGGCTTGCCAGTCCTCACTCTCTCGCTGCATAATTCTTTGAGGAATGATTTTGGTGTCCAAAACTCCTGGATTGACAAGCAAATTGTATTCAATTTGCCATCTGGATGGCAGTTGTCTTCTGTTCAGTGGGCAGTTTTCTTTATCTCTTCCACAATCACTCCTCTCTCCAGGCAGACATCTGCTGATAACAGCTATTGAATGCCCCTCCATGGCTGATAAGAACTGCAGCATCCCATTGGGAGATGTGAGCCCAGAGGGAGGAGCCAAGCATTCCTACCTGGATATAATCTGGAGATTCTGGAACACCAGCACAGCTTCTGCACTGGATTCCCCAGAGGAGCAGCAGCTGCCTCTGCCCCTGGACCTTCAGAGGCAGAGACTGCACCTTTCTCCAGGATCCTGCTCCAGCAGAGCCAGCCCTGACACTGCAGGAGGGCTGAGCCACAATTCCAATGGCACTGCTGCCAACAGCCTGACCCACAGGGTGTCAGGTTGGGTTCTGACTCTGTCAGTGTTGCTTTAGTTCACTGCATTGTTTATTTTATCCTTTTATTTTCTTCCCTATTAAAGACCTGTTATTCCTGCTCCCATATTTTTTGCCTGAGAGCCCCTTAATTTAAAATTCATAGCAATTCAGAGGGGGTTTACATTTTTCATTTCAGGGGAGGCTCCTGCCTTCCTTAGCAGACACCTGGCTTTCCAAACCAAGACAGGGGACTATGTCTTCAAACATTCTATCTTAGCAATGCAAGACACATAGCTGATCTGTAATTAATTAAATTAATTAAAATAAAGTACAGGAAGTTCCATGGAGACAGTTAGATCATGTGATTTCTTGAGGTTTAGAAAATCTGGGAGTCATGGTGAAAGAAAGAATACATTATTTCAGCATCTGCTGTACCCATCTGCACTCAATGATTCTAGCCCATAATTAAAGAGAACTGTGTGATCTAGAGAACTAATAATGCTGCTCACATATTATAAAGCTAAATTTGTTATTATTTGTAGTAAACTAAAGACCAATGGATAAAGAACCATGGAAAAATCTCAGGAGTAGATCAGTGTCAAGTTTGGACACTGACCTATAAATGAGGCGTAATTCCAGAGACTGATAAAGGAGAGAAAAGTATTGAGTAGCTGAACTGGCAAGGAGTGTAATGCTGCCCTGAACTGTGTGTAAAATAGCATGAGATCATCTGTGACCATCTCATAACTTACAAAACACAAGGTGGAACTGTACAGACCTCCTTAGTTCTGGCACTTGCCAACTGTCTCCAACTTCTCCGATATCATGAAACTTCTTGCAACACTTTTACAGCAGATACAAACTGTTGGCCCAGCTTCAGCTACTAATGTGTGAGCTGGTGACCCAACCTTTGTCTTCATAACCAAAGCAGATCCTGAAATCCCTAAAGAGTGGAACATTTGGAACTATCACATTATTTACCCTTGGAAGCATTTCTTTGCTTGAAGAGCAAATTGCCTGGAACGGGAAAAATGAAAGAAATAAACTCTCTGTTGTGTCAACAGAGCATGAAGAAATATAAATTAATTTTGCTGAGAGGGACTGGAGAATGAGAACCTTCGAGTAGTGACTTGTTGCTGCAGAGATGTGAATCAGCTCACCTGTCACCAGCATTCTTTAACATGGTGACAACATGGAACATTAAGCCCACAGTCTCCTTCCTACTCACAGTTTGCCTGGCAGGGAGTAGACATGTACTAACCTCTTTCCACAGTCATGTGTGCATGGATTTATAAAGGCAAGGTGGTTGCACAACAATTCAACATTTTACAATTCCTAGGCATTGTATGCCCAGCTATTTTGCTATGCATTGGCAATTATTTTTGGCATCTGTGTTTAGCAAGGGTGGATCTCTCCTAATAAGCAATGCAACGATTACAGCAAGATAACAATTGACCTCAGGTTTTTCTTTGGCTTTGGATATCCACAGCAATTATTTGGCAGGTTCCATGCTGTTTACATCCTTTCTCCCCCAAAGCCAGGTAAGCTGAACACAATCAGCTGCTCTGAAAGGAACTTTATAGAATATAATTTAGAACATATTCAGTTATTTTTGAGCAGTTCTCCCTCACTTCATCCTGTTGCAATCTCAGGTACCTCCTGGTACCCATCTTATGCACCATGTGGACTGTACCAACCTGCCTGTCCCCCATTTCCCTTTAAAATCAGGTTTGTAAGTACCCCCAATTCCTTCCTTCAGATTTTAAACTTAAATGCAAATCTATTGTTTGTCTGTACAGACACTCTGATGGTAATTACTACTCATCTCTAAAGTAGGGAAGAAATCTCCACTCTCCAGAGGTATTGCCACACTGATTTTGGGTGTGCATGCATGTGCACATAGCTAATTATTCACACACTGTATGGGTTTTAACTTACACATTTAGAATCTTTTTTGTTGTGATGAGTTTTTATTCTTTGACATATGAAGAGAACAAAAATTCTTACAATGCAAGAAGAGAGCATCAAAGCAAGCTTACAAAAAGCCTCTAAACATCACGTTCTTAAGTAATAGCAAGTAAAAATCAGAATTCAGCAGACCATGCTAATGTCATCAGTTCTTGCCTTGATTCTAATGGGCAAATAGGTAGTAAATACTTAATTGAATAATTTAATTGAATAATTTAACTGAATAATTTAATTGAATCACACTCTTCCTAAATACCAGTGCACTGTATGCAAGAAAATTATTTAATAGCCTTTGATAAAATCTACAGCATGATTAATTATAGTATTTGATGATGGGAAAGAGAAAATACCATACCCAAAAAATCCCAGTGCAGCATGAAAGCCTTTTTCCACGTGGTGCCAGGTCACATGTACATTGTTGTCCTCCAAGCGTTTCTTGTACAACAGCCCATCATCCCTGAGCACATCATGCTCACAGGTGACAATACAGGTGTCAGGGAGAGCACAGACAACAGCATCCTCTGCCAGCAGAGGGGACACCCGGGGTTCAAACAGCTCTTGCACTTCTTCATGGACTTGAGGCAAAAACAAAGTGGGCAGTGGTGGTTTATAGCCCACTTTAAACTCATCTGGAATAAGATCTGGACTTATCCATTTCCTGTATTTCAAATTTATAGTCTCAGGAACATGAGAACCAGCCAGCATTGGTTCCTTCAGGGAGCAATCCTTATTCAGGTATTTGAGAATAAAATGGACTGCGCGCTCCCGGAGCAGGAAGGGAACGGCAGCATTTTTCTGGTGAGATGGCAGATTGAAGTTCAGAGCTTGGAGAAATGGATAGATCAGCACCTGGGCACGAATCTTGGGGATATCTGTCCTGTGCACAAGCTCTTGGCAAACACTGGTAGCAAATGTGCCCCCTACACTGTCCCCACAAACAACAATCCGAGCGGGATCCACCCCGTAGGTGTCTGCAGTCTTCAGGAAGTGCACGGTGGCACTGAGGCATTCCAGAGTCTGGGCTGGATACCTGAACTCAGGGGCTAAATGATACCTGAGGGGTAGAAAAAGCAGCTGGTGTTACACATTCTGAGTGTCTCATCTGAAACACATCCCGTGCAAAAACTCCCCCAAACCAATATTAATTACAGCATTAATTGTATCTAGGTTGAAGTTTTTACATGCTGAAGCAAACCAGAACAACTTTTCCTTCCTTTCCTTCTCAAAACCAATTCATCCCAACTTAATAAAATCCCTTAATAGTAAAGTTTTTAATGGAAAAATTTGTTGGAAATTAAGGTTTCTTTATACCATCATGTATTTTCCATAATCAAAACATCTTTGTAGGAAACAGTGGTCCATGCTGGTTTTAAAAAATACTAAATTTTAGACTCATTATTTACTCTATAAAATCCCAGGTGATTTTAAATGCAAATATTAAATATTAAAATCTTGATTATATTTTAATATATTAAATATATATTAAAATACTAAAATCTGATATTTGGGTTATAATTTCTTATCCTCAAACAAAGGTAATGATTTCTGTGGTGATGGTGATGTACAGTGACCAAACCTGTAACTCTAACCCTGTCTCAGGTATTTCCATTGCCATTCCATGCCACGTGCTTGCTCCCACTTAACAGCAGTGTGGGGAAGACAGCACTAGAGCTCAGTTTCTTATCTTATATTCAAAGAAATGTAAGTTCAGGGGTGTGTGGGAGGCAGGGGGAAAGCAGCAGAGTTCTCTAATTCAGGGATTAGCACTGGTTGAATTTCACTTACCCAAGAGACACAACCACTGAATCAGATTTTCTGGCTATGTACCGGCAAATTCTTTCATAACTCCCTGAAGCACAAATGTTGTTGATGTAATTAACATCTTCGAAAACTTCAGTTAATATTCTCCCTTATATTTTTATGACATATTACTACAATATCTTGTCAGCCCCTTGCTTATTTAGTGAGTACCCAGATTTTCATTAGGATAAAAATAATCTAGATAATCTTTTGGTCATCAGGACTTGCTGTAGAATTCATACATTTAGACAGATCATTGACTTGTGTGGAAAATAAGGAATTATTATGATTTTTACTATTAGAAAATGGGCAGGTTTAAACTGAGAGAGGATAGAATTGGTTTCCATGTAAGGAACACATTTTTATTATGAGGGTGGTGAGGCCCTGGCACAGGTTGCCTGGAGAAGCTGTGGCTGTCCCACCCCTGAAAGTGTCCAAGGCCAGGCTGGACAGGGCTTGGAGCAACCTGGGATAGAGAAAGATGTCCCTGCCCATGGCAGGAGGTGGAAGAAGATTGTATTTAAGGTCACTTCCACCCAAACCATTTTATGATCTCAATGGTTCTATGATAAAGAGTGCTGTATCCCATTAGAAAATAATTTAATATTACATACGTGCAGATTAGAGAGTTAAAAGAATTAAAAATAAGCACTAACTGCTTTCTATCTCCAGTCTCTCAAACTAATCTTCAGCCACTTCTTAGGGTCAGGAGTTTTTAAAAACAGGCAGTTAAAAAAGCTAAATAGTCACATTTCTCTTTCAGTTCCTTACTGATGCTTCCAAAAATGCCACATCCTCCATGGATGAAGATGACTCCTCTCCGTTTGCTGGCAGATGGTTCTCTTGGGAGGTAAATCCTCATGGGTACCCCATCAAAATGCAGATCTTTAATGAAGAGCTGGGAATCCTGCCATGCTGGGAGTCCCCCTGTGATCAGCCTGATAAGTGTGTGCTCCCTGATGATACCCAAGTGGTTTAAATTCGTTGCCTAGATAGGTGAAACAGGAAAAATGAGACATAACTAAAGGGAATACAAGTCTTCCCACTTTGTAAAGCTACTTTTTCCAACACTGTCTTTAGCATAATTGGGTTGGTTATTTGCTAGGTTTTAGGATTCCCACAAATAACTGTCTTTGGGATTTTGGTTAAGAAGATGAAAACTTAGATCTTCGTTATTGTGGGAAGAATGTTGTAATACTTGTTCCATTAAATGTATCACATAAATACCCTCTAGTTCCTGTGATCTGGATTTACCACAAGTAAGAACAGGCATTTGCTCAGGTGTGGAAGCTGGGAGGCCTGAGGCTCCCTTCCTAATGAGTGGACAGAAAGAGGTATTTTTTGGGGATGGTTCCAATTTTGGGTGTGTCAAATAATGCTCTGAAAGTGTCTGTTCATCTCCATGATAAACTGTACTCCAGATGCCTCAGTTAAAATATTTAAGGTTAGGTGAGTTTAAAACAAAAGCCAGGAGGCTTCCTCTCATCTCTTCCACTTTACATGGTCATTGATCTCTTCATGGCAGGGGATGTGGACAGATGCAGCAGGAGCATCATTTATGTAACTTCTAGTTGAGGGTACACACTTATCTGGTCTGCAGCTTTCTTTGCAAGTAGGGTGGAAGAAGAGAGGAACAGCCTGTCTTGTATTGTTGAAAAAGAGGATTTTACAGGAGCATACAGCACAGCACAGCAGTGGCACAGCTCTATGGCACAGGAAGAGCAGCATTGATCAGGATGGGCAGGATAAGTTCTGTCAGTCACTCTGAAGTGTCCTTTTCAATCCACAGTAATTATCATCAAAGCTTCAAATTCCAGTGCAATATGCACAGTTAGTCTGAACATAGATCTGTCTGAGGAGTTTAAAACAAAAGCCAGGAGGTTTCCTCTCATCTCTTCCACTTTACAAGGTCATTGATCTCTTCATGGCAGGGGATGTGGACAGATGCAGCAGGAGCATCATTTATGTACCTTCTGGTTGAGGGTACACACTTATCTGCTGCTTTTCTAAGAAATTACAAGTAGGGTGGGAGAAGAGAGGAACAGCCTGTCTTGTATTGTTGTAAAAGAGGATTTTACAGGAGCATACAGCACAGCAGTGGCACAGCTCTATGGCACAGGAAGGGCAGCATTGATCAGGATGAGCAGGATAAGTTAATTGCACCCCTGTCATACACAAAGCATTTTGCACTTAAACAGAAACCTGTGAAGTCCTCACTGTGTGGGCTGCTCCTCTGAGCAAAAACATAAACCAGGAATGCACCCAAAGTACCAGCAGATGCCTAAAGGCTTTTGAAAGAAAAATAGGTGAGTGGATTGATTCAGTGAACAGCAAGTGATGAAATGCATCTTAAAACCTATTCAGAAAAAGGATGCTGAAATTTAGGGAATGTATTATCCATGAAGAGAGCATATGCACTTATTCCATAACAGACACTTAAAAGCTGTATAAATGGGTTACAAGTATCACCTGAAAGAATCTGTTCACTCACTAATTAGAGAATTTAATAACATTGTCCTATTATAGTATTACTGTCATAGTATTATATTAAGTTTATATATAACATAAAACAAAGAGTAGGATGAGATATGCATCCTTCTTCATGGCAGACAAGACAGAAAAGTACCACAGGAGAATCAGGGACAACCACTGGATTTGGTGAATGCTGCTGTGTAAGTTCAAGCAACCCCCTTGAGTCTTTAATAGATTGTGGTGGCCCAAACCACCTCTCAGGATGTGGGGCCAAGTTCCTGTGTTCTTTCTGCAAAATCACCTCTCAGGATGTGGGGCCAAGTTCCTGTGTTCTTTCTGTAAAATCACCTCTCAGGATGTGGGGCCAAGTTCCTGTGTTCTTTCTGCAAAATCACCTCTCAGGATGAGGGGCCAAGTTCCTGTGTTCTTTCTGTATAACTGGGGATTAGAGAATCGAGGTGAGCTTCATACAAACATCAAAGAAACCACTCTGATTTTCCTGCAGGCTTTCTTTTGACATGTTACGTGCCAGACATGACAGGGCTTAGGCTGCTCCTACATACTGCTGTTGCCTGCTTTGAAAGCTTTTTGGGTGAAAGCTGTTTCTTTCTGTGATGGCAAAGCCCACAGCACAGTGAGTCTGGCTTACAGGTACTTAGATAATAAGTGATAACAGGCCTAAACCTGCTTTGGCAGGAGGTTCAATTAGATGACTTCTGGAGGTGTCTTCCAACCTACCTGATTCTATGGTATTTAACTATAATTCTGTAATTTAGTCACTGCAGAATAAGAACAGAAACAAGGGTGAGAAAATTACTGCAAATAGCTCAGAATGTAGGAAATTGCCTTACAGATATCAGAGTGCACTTAGACAAAGCAATTTGGGCTCTTATTATTCATGTAAATTATGAACAGCCCTCCTGTCATCCACAGGACCAGTCATTTCATTATGGAAATATACAATTGCAGCATAAGAATGGATATATCAGTATTGAAAGAACTCACCTCATCCTGGCTGCTTTGTATACATGGTAACAGAAACCAAATCAACCTTTGGCCTTTAAATCTGTGTTACTGTGTGCTTCCCATGACATGTAGTTGCAGTATTTAGATTCATACTCAGCTCTTTTCCTTTTCTGAAAATCCCAGTATCCCAGAGCATGATAGACTCACCAGAATGTCCATCAGAGTGTACAAACAGTGATAAAGGCGGAGCTTTGCTGGCTGGTCAACATCAGAAGGAATCTGCTCCTTGAAGAAATGATCAGTTGCAATTAAAACCAGCAATACAAAAGCAACTAAAATTCCTGCTAATAAAACCAGAATATAATAGGACTCCATTGTTCTTTGGTGGGAATAATTAGACACTGGTTGAAATGATTGTGTCAGTATTTATATCCTCCAGACTGATTCCACAGAGAGGTCATTTGCATGTCATTTGCATACCGAATTCCCCCTGCCCTGCTCCTTTAGGCAGGGCTGGCAGGTAATGGAAGCCTGCAAACATCCGGCTGTGACAAGTGCACTTGGCATGATTCAAGCTCATACAAAGCACAGTCACTTCCAGGAAGCACCTTTCTTTTGTATAAATGGGTTTATTTTTTATCTGCTTTAGGGGCCTGATTTGCAAGTGTGCCAGTGAGTGTCTCACAGCCTGTGGAAGAGTGGCTGGACTCCAGTCTCCATGGTCAGGAATTGCAGAGGTTCTGCTCTTGGAACAGGTCTGAAGGATGATCCCAAGGCTTTTTGCTTAGTGCTGCTCTTTTCCCTGCTCACTTGCTGAGGCAGACAGCTGGCCAGAACAGTTAGAACAGGCATCCTGAACTCAGCCTCAAGGAATTTTGCTTTTGGAGATCCACATGGATCTCTCAGTTATTTGCCAGCCTGAGTGTGCAGCAAGGGGCTCTGGGCTCACCAGTGGTGCTGTGCTAGCACAGGGAAACTTCTCCTTGACTTGCAGAATTTTGGCCCTAACCCTCTGTGCTGATTCTTTCCAAAGGAAAGGTTTTGATCTCTTTACAACTCCATATTTTGCTGTGTTTTCCAAGATGACTCTGTGTTATCCCTGGTTGTAATTCAGGTGTGATCAGAGCATATGGCATCCAAAAGCTTGCACCAAAGGAGGTGATGGCAATGCAGGAATGAGTCCCCAACTTTGTGTATTTCTGTCCACCATGTGCCTGGACAAAACTTGTTTGGGTAACATTAAAAAGCAAACAAGCATCAGCTCAGCTTGACATGGGCAACACAACCTGTGCTTATCCTTTGAATACTGAAATATTTCTTTATCCCCACTAATCTCCCCAATACTTCATTTAAAAACCCTTACAAAAGCTTGTAATCACGGCCATAGAGATACGAACTCCTTTTTATGAGCCACAGGATTCTGCATTTGGCCAACCAACCTGTAGTGTATTCCCTCAGAGACATCTTCACTGAAAAAGGTGAGTCCTTTCTATGTTTCCTTGCACACTTTAAAAAAGCAGGCAAAATATATCTATTTAGAAAAATCCCATTTATACAAAATATGTGTTACAGCAAAGAGCAAGAAACTTCAATGTGAACTAGTCAGTGGGTTAAAAAAATATTTAGCTGTGTGGAATGAGTAAACAAGTGAGTCATAAGAGATAAAATACAGGATGATGAGTGACCAGACTGGATTCTTAAGATAAAAGGTCTAATCCTTAACTTCAGTGGAGTTCAGCAAGTACAGATGATTGAATTATGTGGCTTAAAATTAAGAAATATAGATAGATAGATAGATAGATAGATAGATAGATAGATAGATAGATAGATGATAGACAGATAGCTAGATAGAAGGTGTTAAGGATAAGAAAATCAAATCCATTTAAGTAATCACATGGAATTCAGCTTCACTTGGCAGGCCTGCTCCTTGTCATGACAGTCATCTTTCCAATTCTAATGCAAATGAACTGACTGAGCTGGGGAATAAATGACTTCTTCCATTGCTGAGCCCCTCCCAAGCCGACTCCATCAAGACCCGTGGGGGTACACTAACTTGAGTAATTTTTTAAAAACAAAACAACATAAATTAAAGCAAAATTAACGCTACTTTTATATTCTGTGAGGTAATATCTAGGTTGGGCTTTATTGATTTTAGTGTGATCTTATTTCCGCACATCAGTTCATACACCTGGCCTATCCCAGCCTCCCAGTCAAAATTGTTTGCCTTTGACAGCTCCATTCTCTTCCTAACATTCCTCTTCTTTTTGATATCCTTTGTAAAACTGTCAAGTTTGAAGAAACTTCAGACAGGCAGAGGCCCTGCATTATTTCACCTCACTATGTATTAGTGAACCTCTCCCTCTGAAAAGAAGTTACAGCTGCATGTAAGGAATTCTTTTAAAAAGACATTGGTAGAAGGAATTCAGGGAATATTTTATCCTGAGATTTCCTTTCTAAGCTAGTTCACAAGTTTCCAGTGCAAACTTGTTACAGGCATTAGCTTGCTGTTCAGTTTGTGTCAAAATTGACGTCATGTTGGTTTAAGACTTTTTTTTTTTTTTTAGGACTTTTTTTAGGACTTTTCTCTAATTTTAAGAGCCTTAAAGACATAATTCTTCTGTTTCTTCAGTTCTTTTTATGTCTTAGAAGTTTTGTCAGGACTGAGGAGTTAGTCAGAAGGAATGGGTAAATATTCACTGGCCTAAAAGTCAGTAAAGGCACCAAAGAGAAGGTAAGATGAGTCAATCAGGTTAACAAACATGATCTTTCCTTTCCAAACAAACTCCTTTCCTGTTTACATGAGGTATTTCTGCATTGTTCTCTCTTGAAGCAGCCTAAGATGTTGAGAGATCTGCCTTCTAATCACAGATGGGTGAGGAAAACCAAGCAAAGTTACAACAAATGACAAAAATTCTAACATGTATGAAAACAACTCAGCAGGTGGAACAAGCCCCACATAGATGAGACTGCATCCCTTTGAATTCTAGAGAGCTCCTAGAGCACTGTGTAAACTTCTGCCTCTAAAGACAATTATTTTTACATTTGAATCTAGAAAGGGATGTTACCTAGAATTTAGAATTATTCATGAGACATTTTTATATCTTTACTCATGACACTGCTTTGTTGTAAAACCCTGGGAAAGCCCTAAGACATCAAAATGCAGCTTTTACAAAAAGGCCTGATGCAGTCTTTGCTGTCAGGCTGGATGTTAACCAGAAACCAGTTCCTTTGAGCTTAGTCCATGGCAGAACTCAGAAGGCAACAGTATCAGACTCTTAATAGCATATAGAAGGACAGTGTGAAATCACAGAACCACTGGGACACATTTCAAATGGAAAATGTGAACACGAGGGAAGAATGAAACCAAGAAGCACAAAAATTTAGCTCTTGATTTATCCAAATCTGACAGCAGTACTTCATCTAACAAAAACCAGATCAGCTTGGCAAAAGGTTTTCCTTTTTTAAAGAAGGTTTAAGGTTTATTCTGTGATCATGATAGATTATCTATGATTAAAAACCCTGCGCTGATGTAAAAAAAAAAAGGAATTACTTGACACTGTAGTGTGGAACTGCTGCTCTGTGCTCCCTGGTTTGTACTGTCTATATCTGAGTGGGGTTTTTTAAGTTGAAAACACAGAATTTTTACCCCAATTGGCTTTCAGATGTGCCTCAAGCAGAGTTTTAATTTCCAGCTCATTTTCCTTTCTAAAGTTCTTGCCATTTAGCAACCTCATTTGTACAAAGAGCCTTCCAAGGCTGCAGAGGCTCTGTGAACACAGTTCTGCCATAAATACAGGTGTAACATGAACTGTGACATTCAGACACTGCCTGAGCCTCTTCACAGATCCAGGGAACATCATTCTGCAAAAATGGAGCTTTGTCATGTAAGTGATGTGTATAGAGAGTGTATCTACTTGTTTTGGAGGTAAATGTGCTTTTTACTGCTGGTTTTTCCTTCAAGCCACCACAAGTCAGAAAAAATCGGTTTCTGTGACTCTTATTGAGAATATGAATAAATCTACACTAAGTACACTCCAAAAGCTACACAAGAACAAACCCAGAAATCTAAACCAACAAATGGAAGCCAAAACTGGCTTGAGTTATCACTGAAATACATCACATAGAATCATAGAATATCCCAGGTTGGAACACATCCATAAGGATCATCAAAGTTCAACTCCTGGCCCTGCACAGGACCACCCAAAGAATCCCACTGTGAGCCTGACCGCCTTCCTGCTCTCATAAACTGGAACAAACTTAGTTAAAAGTGCCATGAAAATGGCTTTAAAGAGGTTGTTGTGTTGGTTGTTTGTTCAGTTTATACTTTGTTGTGAGTGTTTGTGTAGGAAACAACTGCTGGAAATGCAAAATGAATTCTGAAGATGATGCAATTTCACAGAAATAACTTATGGAACATTTCAGGGCACTGGTTTAGGACTTCTGAGTGAAACCTGGATGGGATTCACTTTGAGACAACCTGGGGCTGATAATTAGAGAGAATGGCTGTGATGGGACAGATCCTTGTGACCCTCACCAAGGTATGTGCTGAGTGTCTGTTTGTACCAGCAGTACTGAAAACATCTTGGACAACCAGCCCTATATGAAAGTGTGTTTTAGGGAGTCTCACTAATTTGTAAATAAAAGTTCATGTGGGTTTTGTAAAAGTTTGGAAAAAGACGTCTTCCCAAGAAAGAGTGCAGTGGTTGCTGTACAAAAATCAGGTGAAATTCCAGAATATTCCTTTTTTTTTCCTTTTCAGAGTAGAACTGCAATTAAAAGGGAAAATACCTCTAAAGTTCTAATGCTCTCACATAAAGTATGTTTAGTATTTAAAGCTATTTGACTTTTTGGTTGAATTAGGTGAATTTTAAAATAACTTGCATATTGTTTTTATTTACTACATGCAAGATACACTAACTTCAGTTTTACTATAAATCTGATTTTGCTTCTTGTTTTTGTAGGTTTGTACAGTGTAGCATCTACTAATTTTCACTGCTTCAAGATAAAACTAAGGAAGGAAAATACTTCAATGAAATTTGAAGCACAGGTAAGGAAAAATGTTATATATCTAGAACCGTTTCTTAACTCCCAATCCAAATTTGGTAGCAACTTTGTACATAGGTAAAAATCATAATGAATAAAAAATCTCTTCAAACACATATTTAGATTATTATTCAAGCTGGAAATAGACATGACATAGACATGAAATAGATATGAAATAGACATGAAATAAACACTCACAAGATTATTCAGTTCCCCCTGGCTTCAAAGCACCTGCAAATGTTTTACATTAATAATGAATTTTCTTTTAAATCTAAACAAGTTAACTCTGCAATATTGATGAGTTTTCTATTTTAAATGTGTCTGTGGTGCTTTAAGCACTAAGAAACTGAACTCAGGCATCAGAAAAACACAAATATACTTCGATGGAGTTCATATCCTTTCATTTTCAACGCTGCTCCTTATTTCCGGAGCAGAAAGTTGTTATATTTGCTCCCAGTCCAGACACTGAGTCATTCCTGTCTCAGCCAGACACTGGCTTCTCTGGGTAATTTCTCTCTCCCCTCCAGAGCTGTTGGACTGAGAGGAAAATTGTAATGCCAGGTGCCTCCCCGAGCTGCATTTCTGGAGGTATTACTGTCAAAACACACCAAGGTGCTAAATGCTGCCAACAGGCCATGGAAATTCTCTGGTTGGTTCAGATGCAGCTGAGTTAGCAACACTCACTGGTTCTGACAGAGTGTGCAGACAGTTTCCACTTAGGATGCTTCATCTTCTCCTCAAAACCCTCTCCTGACACTCTGATTATGCAGTGACAGTCATATGGCTTGTTTCATATGAGCTATCCTGCCAGTTAGAGGTAAAAATTGTGCAAGTTTGTCTTCTCAACTTTATTTCATTTTTTCCTTCCCTTAAAACTTTTGTGGAACTTTTAACAGAGGTGAAATTCAAGGATTTAGGTATTTTTCATATTTTTTATCAAAAAATCTATGTGTGATAGAGCTGTTGAATGTGGGGGGCACCAGAAACTTGGCTGCCCTTCTTTTTGCCAACAAAAAAACCCTGAACACTCTGTTCCCACATGGCCACTTTGAATGTCTGTTTGATTCCAAAGAAGAAAAGTGAGTTCATTTTTAAAGGGATTTAGCATCTAAACTCACCTCTGTCTCTCACAGATACTTAGATTCAAATGTCCATTAAGGTGGTGTTTTAGGAACTAGAGATGTGAAGAAGTTTGAGAGTGTTTTTAAGGGCAGTTTTCCTCTTAATTCCAGTGTTTACCTCTAGATGGCTTCCCAGGATAGTTCATCTGGCTCCAGACCTGAGTGAACTTGTGCACTGCATTCATTTTGATGAATCCCAGTGATACCTGCAGATAAAAACCCAATTTTCTTTCCACCCAGCTGTGAAGATAACACTGTGAGGTTTGATATCCTTGAGATCTTTTGATATTCTCAGTGCTTTGCATTTCAAGTTAATTAATTCTGAAATGAATGTGCAGTTACAGCCTCCTCAGAAAAGCTTCATCTCTACAACCAAAATCATAATTTACCTGTCTAATGCTTGACAGTGCAAACAGCCAGGGACCTGCTGTGATACACTTTGCCCTTTTCCCTCTTTTCAGAGTTTGAAGGGCTGTGGAGACCTTCTGGGTATTCCCTTATCACCAGACAAAAAAGTCTTGGAAAAAAACCACCCTTTTTTTGCAGGGTGAGTCTCCCTCTGTCATTCAGAGCCTGCCTTTTTCACTGCTAAATCTCCAGTTTTCAGCAATGCAAGCATCTTCCAGCATGGAAAATCCATGAGGCATCAGAAAAACACTGGTCAGTGGTACTAGATATTAATGATTATCAGCTAGGCTGGGTTCAGCTGGAAATCTAGGGCTGCAAGGAGCTTTGCCCTGCACACACCAGCTGATCTTGGGCAAGCAGCCCCCTGGCAGAGACGGCTCCCTTGAACTCAGCCTCAGCCCTGCTTCTTCCTGGACCTGCTTTTCCCTGGGCTCAGGTCACACCTGGGCACCTTTGTGACAGAGGCACCAGGGGCTGCCTGACCTGGTGACAGAGCCCTTTGGTTCCTGCACAGAGCCCAGGGCAACATGGAGCAAGCCCAGCATGGCATGAGCCCAACGTGCCCACAGCAAGCCCAGTGTGCCCTCAGTTTGCCCCCCATGCCCACAGCTGGCCCAGGGTGTAGTATTTAAAGCTATTTGACTTTGGCACCTACAGGATGCCCAGCATGCACTCAGCAAACCCATGGTGCTCACAGCATCCCCAGGGTCCCACAGGCAACCCAGGGTGCCTCCAGCTGGCCCAGGGTGCCCACAGCTGACCCTGCTGGCCACAGCAATCCCAGAGTGCCCGCAGCTGAGCCTGCTACCCCACAGCAAGCCCAGGGTGCCCACAGCGGGCCCAGGGTGCCCTCAGCAGGCCCAGGGTGCCCTCAGCAATCCCAGAGAACCCGTAGGTGGCCCTGCTGGCCCACAACATGCCCAGGGTACCCACAGCAAGCCCGGGGTGCACTGAAAGCTCAGGGTGCCCGCAGCTGACCCTGCTGACCCTTAGCTGGCCCGAGGTGCCTGCAGGTGGCCTGAGGTGCCAACAGATGGCCCATAGTGCCCGCAGGTGGCTCTGGTGGCCCACAGAAAGCTCAGGGTGCCCGCAGCATGTCCAGAGTGCCCGCAGCTGACCCTACCCGCCTGCAGAAAGCCCATGGTGCCTGCAGGTGGCCCTGGATGCCCACAGGAATCCCGCAGTGCCCACAGCTGGCCCGTCGTGCCTGCAGGTGGCCCTGCTGCCCCACAGA